ATTTCTACTGCACAGCGCCCTCTGCTGTTTCATTTCTACAGCACAGCGCCCTCTGCTGAGTCATTTCTACTGCTCAGCGCCCTCTGCTGAGTCATTTCTACTGCACAGCGCCCTCTGCTGTTTCATTTCTACTGCACAGCGCCCTCTGCTGATTAATTTCTACTGCCCTTCCTGTACTTCCTTTCTCTTGGTGATAGGACAGCGCCCTCTGCTGTGTAATTTAGATAATAACATGACTTGCTGCTGTGTCGTATAACACGGCGCCATTTACTGTTTCATCATCTTGTAACCAACAACGCGACTAACACGGACTATCACGGACTAACACGGACTATCACGGACTAAAACGGACTAACACGCGTAAACATCTGCAGGTTTATTATCTACGTATAATCTTTGCATTTAAATCTGCTACTGCGATTAGGCAGGGGTGTTTTTTCTCAGCTTTTCTTCGGTCTGTAGTTTTTCTCGTGTGCGGAACCGGTTTCGAGGCCAGTTTCAATCTCTCGATATTTCTCGTCGAGTCACGTATACCGCTTGGTGATTGGAATCTGGTTTGAGGTTTTATCAAAGCCTTTATCAGTGCTTCCGAATGTGCATTTGATAAAGAGAAGGCCTAGCTAGCTTTCTACCCCACTATGTTCTGTAGACATTCTTTACTTGCCAGCACTGGCATTTTTCTGCTGGTTTACTACTGCTTTTTTTTCTTAATAAAAGGCAGTAATTTTCTTCTTCCTATTTTTGGTTTGGCATCTTTTATAAATATTTGCATAATAAAGAAGCTTTGAATAGTACTCCTGTGGACGTTTTACATTTTAATTTTACGTGATGTATAATATGTACAGTATATATGTATATCATGTGTATAACACGTACAATAGCATGAAAGTGCGATGAACCAGAAAGCCGAGATGTGAATACATTTAGATGTCGACCGTGAAATATTTTTATGAATGTTGTGGAATGTCCCCTGATGGGTTTCTAAGTTGCCTTCCTCCTAAGACTACAGCATGACTGCTAAGCCTTCCCCGCTACAGTATGGCAGTGACTGTTTCCTCTTTACAGGGCAGCCAGTGTTTATGTACGAGGACTTCTACCAGAGTCAAGTCGATAAGAAAAAGCAAGATTTCTCCTATCGCATCTTCAAGAAGGTATGCGTCTAACAATGAGTGGCGTTCATGTTATCAACGTACGATGATCCGGATCTTTAGGGAGGGGCATGCAGTCCCTAATTAAAAATCACTAAAGTTGTTAATTAATTAATTAATTAGTCGACAAACAATTAATTAATTAACGATGCTCCTGCAGGTGAATCGTGAAGCTCAGCAGTTTCCGACGGCTGAGGAGCATAGCGGAGACAAGCGTAAGATCACCGTCTGGTGCAGCAATGACTACCTCGGCATGAGTCGCCACCCGGCCGTCACCGACGCCGTATCGTAAGCTCTCCTGCTGCCCTCTGTATATTTCAGTCCAACAATGCGCGTTTCTATCACAAGGGGGCGCTACAGAAGCGGCGACGTTGAGTAGGCATTCACCCGGCATATTTCAGTCCAACAATGCGCGTTTCTGTCACAAGGGGGCGCTACAGAAGCGGCGACGTTGAGTAGGCATTCACCCGGCATATTTTAATTTAAAAATGTTGGTTTCTGTCACAGGGGGGCGCTGCAGCGGCACGGGGCGGGCGCCGGCGGCACGCGCAACATCTCCGGCAACTCGACGTATCACGAGCAGCTGGAGCGCGAGCTGGCCGACCTTCACGACAAGCAGGGGGCGCTACTGTTCACCTCCTGCTATGTCGCGAACGACTCGACGCTCTACACGCTCGCCAAGATGCTGCCTGGTGAGTGATAGTTACGTACGCTGCTCACACGATGGCAGCACCAGCGCTGTCCCCCTCCCGAGGTTGGTGGACCATAGGGTTGGAGAGCAAGCACAGTTGGAAAAGTTTTTGGCCTCCAGAGTAGAGCCTGAAGCACCTAAATAAGATGATATTGCTTGACATGGTGGTCCGGTGGGTGGTAATCTCTCCTCCCTCTGTCTCTGTCCCTCTCCTCCCTCTGTCTCTGTCTCTCTCCTCCCTCTGTCTCCCAGTCACTCGCATTGTGTCACTTGACCGAAGCTACACTCATTTCTGTTGAGTTAAATTCAGGTCGTTATCGTATTACATCAATAATTAATCAAGGCATGTTTGAAAAAAATTTCAATGTTATTTCATTTCATTTATTCATTTATTTTCATTCACAGTTATGCTTGTATTGCTTTGTTATTGAACAAAACTTCTGATGTAGTAGTACCTTTCCGAGTGCGTATGATGAAAGCTAATGGGAGAAAAGGTTTTACATTACATAATCTCGTGTTTTTGTCGAAGCACAAAGGATCAATCACATGTTTTTTAGCTTTGCTCTTGTTGCATCCCTCAAAATGGCTGTGGCAGTCATTGTTTAATTATATTCACTCGATAAAAAAAGCAAAATCGCAGGAGGTGGAATACAAATCAATGGCAGCTTTTATAGACCAGCTATAGTAATAATAATATTATTATTCATAATAACAATAATAATTGTAGCAAGCACTAGTATTATTCGCTCAAGCACCAACCTGCTACTCTCCGGCCATTGCTGCACAAAATATATATTCACACAATAGTTGGAGCATCTGATCTGTCTTGGCCCACGCTGCACTTGCTAACAGTAGCACACGCTACTGCCATACCCTACAGCAGTACCACGCACAGTCATCATTCCCCGCGCCCCACTAGTCGCAGCATGTGTGCTGCCACGTGCCACGCTAGCCCACGCTCGCTCAGCCTCTGCCATGGCGCGTGTGACCTGCCCTGCCACGCGCGGCCGCACCGGCCCCCCACCGCGCTGCCGCTGCCGCCGCTCACACCTTCTCGCAGATGAAGTGAGCGTTGTAGGAGCAGGGCACTGCCAGCATCTTCCAGCTGGACTCCGACCACAGCTCGACGCACGCCTCGTCCGACTCGTTCTTCGGCTCTCCCTCGTCCCAGTCGGCGAACGCCTGCTGCCGGCCCGTGTTGCCGTCGCGCCACCGCGCCTCCTGGCGGCGCGTGCTGATCCAGTACGGCACCTCGTGGCGGCAGTCGATCTCGAGTCGTGTGCGTCCGTAGTGCGCGACCGCAGCGAGTTTCTCCGCGGAGTCTATGGAGAGGAGCTGTCCGCCGATGCTTCGGCAAATTTCGCTCGCCTCCGTCCAGTTGCGAGCGCTCGTGAACCCGCGGAGGCAGTAGTTCGCCGCGACGCGCTCGTACCCGTCGCTCGCCGAGCAGTCGTCTTTGCCGTCGCCGCAGCCGCCGCAGCGTGGCGCCACCGTGGCGTCAAGGCGCGACGCGAGAACGCGCACCTCCTGTGTGAGCGCGTCGAGGGAGGCGCGGATGGCGTCGACGCTGCGTCGCGCGTCTAGCGGGTTGTAGGTGAGAGCGAACACGCAGGTGTCATCGCCGCCTCCCGCGCTGCCCTGCCTGGCGGCCGGCGACGACGTGAGGAGACACGGCAGCGGGAGGAGGAGGAGGAGGAGGAGGCTGCATGGTGGATGCATAGCTTCCTGTGTGCTGCGGGAGAAAGAGAGAGAGAGAAGAGATACATCACGTAGTAAAACTGTATTAATGCTAATACATGTACACGTTGTAACAATTATCACACTGATACATGTACACATTGTAACAATTGTATTGCTGATACATGTACACATTGTAACTCCTATAACACTGATACATGTACACATTGTAACAATTATCACACTGATACATGTACACATTGTAACAATTGTCATGCTGATACATGTACACATTGTAACAATTGTCACACTGATACATGTACACATTGTAACAATTGTCACACTGATACATGTACACATTGTAACTCCTATCACACTGATACATGTAACATTGTACTATACACTCCGGAGTAAAGAACCTGCCTAGGTTTTATCATACACGTATCTTGCCCATCACATCTTTCATCCCCTGTCATTACCTACTCCGTTGTGAATCAAACTACGTTTTATGCTTACTATAGGCGCGTTGTCTAGGTTATGCGTAACCAGTCTGTGTATAGATAGGCATATCGATAATCTACGCCTCGTCCATATTCCCGATTTACATCGCTACTGACCCCCCGGCAAACACTTACTTACCAATCTGCTGCAGCTCCTACAATTGCTACCAAACTACTTCGTTGAGCGACAATGTATTTCCTAGCACTTGCTACAGGCACAGCTTCTACCCGTGGTTAAACGTACGTTCACGTCTCAGATTCCGTGCACCGACTATAGTCTGCTTTGCACGCGGGTTGCTGTGGTCACTTGATGTTATTTGTTTTGTAAGAGCAAAAATCGGGACCGAAACCTGTTGACTCGAAAGCAACAAAGACGCCGTCGTCTTAATCCTCGTCTCTTCTGCTTACCTTGGGCATACACGAATGGAAATTGAAGGCCTCGTTGTGTCAAGTAGTAGACAGTGACTGACCTTGTGTCACTTGTTGTCGTCAAGGCTTTACGTGAATCCTGTATAGTAAATATAACGTCAGTGGTAAAATTGTTTTCGAAAGAGTCGAAGAGTTTTCGAGTTGTCAATTGTAAAGTTTCTAAAAAAATTCTTGCATCCCCCCCCCCCCAACTACACTGTGTAGTACTCACGCCTAGACTCCCTATGAGTGAAAAGTTTTACACCTAGAGATTTAGACAGGGAAAAATTAGCTGGTGTTATTTTTGGGTGATGTTATCGTGTCCACTGTTTCCTTGAAAGGAACTATAAAACTTCTCGAGGCGATGGCAACCCTCCAGGGCTCTTCCTGTCAGTATTTTAATGTTCTAATTTTACTCACAATCCTACATCTTAATCCAAACTAATATAAACTCACCGAATCGAGACGCTCAGAATAATAACACCGCCGCCAGCGAGAGTTGTTTGCGAAAACCTCGCGTTGCTCGTTTGCGTTTTCGTTGTTGGTCGGATTTCCTGGCGTCGAGGCGTGATTGCCGTGGCGAGGCAGGAAGAATGAGCGAGGGGAAGTGGGTGCAGCATTCACACTGCTTACGATCTTCCATCCTCGCTATCACCTACTGGCTCAACCTGCTTACAAACTGTACGGTTAGACGTAGTCAGGGCCACTTTTAGTTTCCGCGAAACTCGCTCGTGTGGCTGTACTGAACGTGAGATAACTGAACGTGGTTTGGCCCCCACCAGTAGCTGACATATATTCCTTTGTTCGGCTCTCGTCTTTTGCTCTCGTGTCGCAAACGTCATGCTTGAACCATATAGACTGACCAATCGGTCACAAAACACACATTAAAATCGACCACGTAAATTGATGCAGACTTGCACAGAGAGGTCATGCTTGAACCACAGTTCGACAACGTTTTTCGATGCAGACTTTGGTTATTAAGATGACTGGGCTAAGAGGGGTTATTAGCATTTTTTCACCTGAACGTACGCTACCGTAAGAATCACGAAAATCAGGGGGTTAAGACTCCGGTCATGGCACGCTTAGCGTCATATTTGCGCGCTGCTTCCGTCGCTCCCAGGACGCGTCCATCGGCGGCGCCCTCTGGCGTCACTCCCCGCAAGCGTCGCCGTTCTAACGCGTCCCTCACTTCTCCGCAGGCTGTCACATCTTCTCTGACTCGGGCAACCACGCATCGATGATCCAGGGCATCCGTAACTCCGGCGTCCCCAAGCACGTCTACCGGCACAACGACGTCGCCGACCTCGAGGCCAAGCTGAAACAAGTGGACGTCTCCGTGCCGAAGATCGTCGCCTTCGAGACGGTGCATTCTATGACAGGTGAGGTCGCGGCCCAGGGCGCCATCTAGTGAGAGCCGAGTGTACTGCGTGCGCTCAGGGGGGAGGGGGCTGATTTAGCGGTGGGGTTGGGGGCTAGCCACCCTCTTTAAGACCGTGAGAACAATTATGGTAATTAGAATTATATCTTCCTCGAAATAAAATGAACTAAATAGAAGTATGTGCGAACCAATTAATCAGTTATTTTCAGCTAAAACGAGCTAGGGAAGATGCGTTATTCGGGGGACGAAATTTATTCACTTGCGAACTGCTGTTCCAAAACTAAAAAAGCCTGCGACATCTAAAACAGCGGTCTTCCTTTAGTCTCTCGGCCTCGGTTTCACATTCCTTCCCGCTACTACCTCCAATTTACTTCTAATTACAACGTCGAAACGTACCCCGATAACCCCCCCCTTAAAAAATCATCGACCTGCACCTCATGATCTCTGCGTGCGCACGAAATATCACGCGTGCGAGATATCGTTCGTCTGATGTCACACGTGTGACGTCACACAGAACCCCCTCATCGTCTGCTGCAGGCGCGGTGTGCCCTGGCAATAGTGCAACTCTGCGTCTCGCGCGTCTGACGTCACGCGTGACGTCACATAGAACCGTGTCACGTGACGCCCCCCTCCTTCGTCGTTTGCTGCAGGCGCGGTGTGCCCCCTGGATGAGCTGTGTGACGTCGCGCGCGCTCACGGCGCCATCACGTTCGTCGACGAGGTCCACGCCGTCGGTCTGTACGGGCGGCGCGGCGGCGGCATCGGCGACCGAGACGCGCTCATGCCCAAGATGGACATCATCTCGGGGACCCTCGGTGAGTGGCGCCATCCGGCGGCGGAAACGTGAAACTTTTGCCCCGCCGTCGACGATTTCTGCCACGACGCATCTCGCGTAGAAGATTGTGCGGCTCACGGATACACGATTGTTTCTGATCGGTTGTGTAAAACGTGAAATTTTAAACTAATTTTTTTGATGTAATCTACACTGTAAGATTAGTTCGAATGTTTTTTGCACGATACTGAATTTTCTGATATAATCTACGCTGCAATGTTGGTTACAATATTTATAACATGCAGTTGGTGACAGAGAGTTACCATGTGTACATGTATCAGTGGTGAACAATTGTTACAAAGTGTTTACATGGTTATGCAGTGCCTGATACTTGAGTTACAATGTCACAGTATGCAGTGGTGCACC